GATTTGAATCTTTGTATGTGATATAGTCTCTAGTATACAAGGCACACGCAATAGATTCTACGATGTTCATGGTATTGTTTATATCTATAAGCTACGAATACCACTGTCTTAGAGTGGAGCAAAGAAAAGACTTCGTACACTAATCGTCTGAATGAGTAACTCATATCATTCACCCTAAGCAGCTGTGTTTGTATTACTTATGTATAAAAAAATATCATTTTTTATAATCATAGTGAAGTATCAATGAGCCTACCACATAACTCAAAGATCCGATAATCGACAGTGAAAAAAGGCACTTGGATATAAGCAAATGTAAAACCGGGCGACCCTCCAACAAATGGAGCGACAAACCTTAAATGTGTTACGTGGAGTCGATAGATGTCTATGGGGAAGGTCTATCTTTTAAGAAGGATATAATGGATAGATAAAAAAATGATGATCTTTAAAATCTTTGATACCTCGTTTCTGCTTTTCCCAAATAAAATTTAATTGAATTTATACTACAAATAAATTCACAAAACTATTTATTATATTATATTACTGCCATTTCAAAAATCTTTAGTCAATGCAATGTAGGTCATTACTAGGAACCGGGGAAATTCACTCTCTGATTTGGCGTAGCCAATTATCTACGCTATATCAGTGTCCCACCAATTAACAACATTTTAGCACTGGACGTACTGCTTTTCACTTTGTTGTCTCATTATTATTTTTACGAAAATAACAGAAGGCATAGAATAATAGCACAGAAATAATTTCTATTCCAGTAAACTTAATTTTAAGCATTTTTACAGTCACTTTTATGATTCTACTGCCCAATACGGAATAAAAGTTCAGCTAAAAAGAATTGATACAATAGTCTTGTTGTATTTTTTTTCTAACAAAAGTCGATTTTTATAATTTATAAACTTGTAAAAACTCACATATTACAATATATTTTAAAATTATTTAATAAATAAATCAAATTTATTAACTTTTTATGCCGGCCATATAAATGTAGAGTTAATAAGAACTGAGCTAATTAGTATATGCCATAGAAACTATATTTATTATTATATATATTTTTTGTTATCGTATCTAAGGGATTATTTATAAAGATTGTATTTTAACGTCTCAAAATACATAATAGTACAATGTGAACGTATGGTTCACTATTCAACAATTATTATTTTAGAAAACATAAGCTTTCAAAGGGCAACCTTTTCAGAATGTACTCTACCCCATCCCGCCGGAAAAGGTGCAGTTTTAAGGGTACGGGTACGATGGATCTGGAGCGTCAGAAGAGAAAGTTTAAAAAAAACTATAAACGTACCTAATATTTTTAACCCATTTTGAGTTGATAGTTAAAGATCTTCTGATGCTCTTAATTTTTTCAACATTCGACCATTCGGTCGAGTTAAGACAAGATTTTTCGAAATTCGATCCCTATAGCTGCAAATACGTTGGACACTCAAAAAGTTTTGCGACACTAAAAAAATGTTCTATAGGTAAATATATTTTTATTACATCTTTTCAAGGTGGAGCAGTAGCTCGCGGAGTTTGGTCTGTGTCGCCTGTGTTTGGTCGCTTATTGCTCACAACAAAGAAAACTTCTGCCAAGCATTTAATAGTATACCATTCGGCATTGATGCTTCTTTGGTTTCGTAAAGGATTTGACACCAAGTAGCCAGTCAAATTGAAAAAGCTTGCGATCAAAATCTTCCCCCCGCTTCTTAGTCGCTTTACTTTGGTAGGCGTTGATTCGTTTTGAAACACCCAAACCGTCAACTGGCGCTTTATTTCTAAATCGTATTGATAAATCCAGGAATCATTACCTGTAACGATGGCGTAAACACGCCGAGACGAGCCTGCTTCAAATTTGTCTATCAAATCATGGCACCATTCCACCCTTGCCTGCTTCTGAATATCGGTGAGGTTGTGCAGCACCCAGCGTGAAACTATCCTCCGCACCCGTAGTTGCACGTGTAGAATCTCGTGACGGCTTCCTGATCCAATCTGCAGTATATGCTGAATCTCTTGGTATGTAACTCGTTTATTGTCTTGGATAAAATTTTTCACTGTTACTCGGTTGCCTTAGAAGGGCTTTCATCCATGAATGCCTTTTGAAATCTATCGTACGATTCGTCCGGTTTCAGGCGACACTTAAAATCGCAAAAAAATCATAGCGCGAAAATGTTCTCGACGCAAATCCATTTTTCAATGAGACACGGTAATTTTAATTAGCTCGCAAAAAATGTAGAGGTAAGTTTTGAATTAAGAACGTACCTATTTTTACATATAAGTAATCATATTTTTAATTTTTTTTTTATACAACTTAGAATGGCAAGCAAGCTGACGGCCCACCTGATGGAAACTGGTAACCATCGCCTATAGACATGAGCAGAACCATGGACATAACAGAGTATACTGTTTCGCCCATGATACCCCCCATGCATTGCCATTCCTGAGGACTCAGATGTTATTCCTCTGTACCCTGTAAATTCACGCTATATCCCACCCTTCAAACCGAAACACAGCCATGCAAACACAACTGCTTCACGGTAGAAACACGAATGGGACAGAGGTACCCAAGCAATCGACTTTTGTACAAAGTCTCCCTCTGGTAAATAAATTATAACTGGCCAGTCTCACATACATAAAAACTTTTTCTTACCATACTTTCTTAATGATATAAGGGTAAAAGTTCGAATACAATTATTTTTTAACCGATAGATACTTGAAATTTACAATTATTACTCTTAAAAATTATGAAATTAATTTTCTGCATCTTTTAGAATTCAACCCCTAAACGTGTTCAAAAAGAGATGAAATAAAGTTAAATGTGCTAACTGACTTTGAAATACTAAACTTTAAATCTAGAAATACCAAATTTAACAGTAGATTTTATGACCTACACATGCAATAAAAAGAGCTTTTTTGAAATTCTGGCCCCAAGGGTGTAAATAGGAGTAAAAGTTTATACAAGAAAGTATACTCTATTAACCGCTTATATCATCATCATTTCAGTCATTGTCCATTGCTGGACATAGGCCGCCGCATTAACCACTTTAGTTAAAGTTAATCACAATATCACTTGCATAAAAAAATACCTCAGCTTAATTTCAGTATTTCATATAATTCATCATTGTGTTAAATGAAGAATGTAAGCTAATGTAAAAAATACTTTTCTACATTGTTTAAGAGTAAAATTAAGAAAACAAAAGATAAAGATATTAAGATTTCATTGAAATTTCCTGTATTAATTAGGAGATAAAAATTAATATGAGAAATATGTTTTTAAAGCTAATTATATAAAATCAATGAAATCGATGTAAGGAATATATAACAGCGTACTTGCATACAAACTAAATTTTATCCTCACAACAAAAATGAAAGTTAATACGCAGGTAAATGGGTCTTATCCTAACTTAACACATAGGTAGCATACACTAATATACACTAATACACTAACTACCTGACCCGGCAAACGTTGTTGTGTGTATAAATTATTTTTTCTGAATTGAAAGACCCTAATCACCTAGGGGTATGAAATATATTTTACGACCTATTCTGTTAGCTGTAAAATATATATAAAAAATATCATAAAAATCGATCGAGCCGTTTCAGAAGAGTGCGACCACATACACTGTGACACGAGATATTCATATATACATATTAACGTGAGCAAAGCCACGGGATAGACCTAATGTACAAACAAAAGAAAAAGTTAAGAACCCACGTCTTATTTTTTAAGATACATATAGCAGTAGGTATACCACAGTCAACTATAAATACTACGAGTCGTTTCAAAGAAAAAAAAAGCATTTTATCTCTATAGAATGTTACTCGAAATATTTTTATAATTTTGCCTCACTGTAGCAGCATTTTTCTCTTTTAGTGCTTATGCTAATAGTTACTTTTGAGACTTCTTTTTATATTATTCTCCAGGTATTTATTACTTCCAATATTCTCATGAATTTACAGAACCTTAAAGTACCTACTATTTAGTTTCTTGAAATTGTTTACTGAAAGCATCTTTAGTAAACGAATCTAAGAGAATAAGCAGATATAATTTTGTAGAAGCGGCGAATGGGCTTACTGCACATAAGTCACTGTCACAACCCGTGTCTGCTGACACGTTTATGTTATTTTATGGCGTTTATATTACAACAATGATTAAAGATAACATATTAACGCTACTCCACCAGTGTTTCTGGTTCCATTGCATTCAGTAGGTAAGTTTATTTGAGCGTTTTACGTTATTAAAAAAGTTTGCAGGTAGTCTGCAAATAACGATGCGAGTTCAACCAATATTAATATAATGTGGTGTGTTTTACTAAAATTTGTCTGTATAAATATTAATTTATTAAAAATTCAGTGTGCAGTTCATTTAAGCTGTTCTTTATTCACTATTGTCTTTAGACCTCTCCCATAGAATACCATAAAAACGTTCCTGAGTTACCTGCGTCTATTAATTTTATGTAACACATTTGAGTTCATGGATTTACTGGAGGTTGTCTTACATCACATTTGCCTATACAGGATTGCCTTTCGAGAATTATTCTTTTCCATCGATTGTCAATCTTCTTGGCTACATAAATGAACCATTGCCACTTTAGATTGCTTATCTTTGTAATTATTATATTACTAAATAACTAATAATCTAAGTCACGTCTGTAACTATCAAATCACTGTATAAATTAACGATTTCTAGAAATACTTATATACATTAATATCATACTACTATTTCTATAGATAGATCAATAATTAAGCTTAGTAAAAAAAATATGCTTGTGATAAAAGGGATTTAGTATGGTTTTCTGGTCTATATTAATATTCTGGTCTAAATGAATATATGTCAGAACTTTTACCCAACATATGTATATGTAACGTTGAATATATATTGCTCTATATCATATCGTGACAATATAAATAAATACAGCGTCCATAAACTGTCAAAAACAAATGTCACAGTCGTGTTTTTGTGACTTTATCACGATCACGTGTTTAGAAATACTCACGGGAGGGAGATATCGAATTCAGCGCAGGTGAAACCGCAAATTTCCTCCTTGTTGTTCAACAACGGAACATCTGAGCAATATTTTCCAAAGTGCACCGACCGAATAATCGGATCCTGGAACTTGTTTTCTCGCTTGTAAATTCCGCAGCTTCGTCCACGCGGAACCCGTTAACTCCCATTCCTGCGGATATATCCAGTAACATTTCTTTGCGAATGTCTAAGACATATTATGGAACCTACACTTTTAACTCAGTATTACTATAAAATTACATTTAACAATATTAAGAAACATTATTGGGCATACTCATATAACACAGCGCTATACAGTAAAAAGAAACTAATCAGACTCTATATGTATATAAAATATTTACATTTGTGCTTAAAAATATATCTAACTGTTGTTATTGTACAAATCATACAAATAAGAAAGTACATACAATCTGTTTTGATTTGAAACAGCTTGAATATTGAAAAGTATTTTGATTGCCAAAAACTTTATCAGAATACAGGCGAGTAATTTTAAAATCGAAAGATGAAGATTTCTAAGAATACATTAAAAGTTTTAATGTAATGTCTAAAATTACAATCTTTGAGATCCTTACCAAAGTTGTCTCTGGAAATAAAGTATGTCGACAAGCAAGGTGCCATCAAAACGTTTAAGTAAACGTTTGTAGGTATCTTAATAAAATATTTCCATTAATGACTTGTCAAAAACAAACTGTTTTAGAAGGTGCTCAAAATGTTTTGCCATTACCGGCGGCTCATTTTCAATGTTGTTATAATAAGAGCTGTTGAATGCTGGGGGCGTCAAAATACAAATAAAAGGCCAATTAAGTAACTAGAAATAGCAGAACTGGATTAGTTTTCACATTGTTTTATTCAGCCCTGAGGCGCCAAGCTACCAAAATCTCAATTTAAAAAGATATATAAAAACCGTTTAAAAATACACTTAGATATGTGTCAACTTACTGTTTGACAGTACTATTAATATGTACAGGTATATACTTGTATATTAATATCATCGTCTAAAGAACTGTTATTCTTTGCAGTGTGTGTAACTTTTAATACGGTATTTTTTAAAAGGTTGAAAAGAGAACGATAACGTTACCGCTTGAATTACAATGGCAAGGCACCAGTGATGGATAATGGATGAGGGTGAAGTCAGATCTGTTAATCCATCGTGACGAATTCACCAAGAATTAACCATAAGAATTTCCAAGTCGACCGCTTGCAGGCCAACTGAAGAATGTATATATTGATAACAATAAGTCCATTCTCAACAATTGTCCTTACTAATAATATTATTATTATCATAAAAATGAAAGAGAGTACATTAATTTGTTTATTACCTCTTGGTACCTATCTTAACCAGTCGTTATGAAATTTAGTACACATGTTTTATATGTGATGAGAAAGAACTTAGGTTACTTTAAATCCCAGTCAATGAACATATTCCTAGACACGCGGACAAAGTTGCGTGTAAAAGCTAATTATAACATTAAATATCTTTGCCGTCAACGGTAAATCAGTGGACATTGATGTATTGTTCGCAACAAGACATCAATGTCCACTGATTTACCGTAGAGATGTGACAAATAACATAAATAACTTCCGGCAATTTAAGATTTTTATCCGACAGAATTGTTGAAGTGGTACATAATTGGTGCAAAATATACTAATTTGAATCTACCGAATTGAAAATCTCCTTTTTGAGGCCACATAAAAATAAAATTCTACACTTTCATACAAATTTTAAAGGTAATATTTGATAGAGAATCATTTATATGTTTTAGTGTTAAAGAACATTATATTTGATTAAATCAATATTTCAAATAATATTTTAAAGGTGATTAAACCTTCTAATAATGAAATGAATACCTTAAAATAATACAGTGAAAGAATACATACATTTTAATAGGAAATTCTCGAAAGTTTATTCTATATATAATTTTTTATACAACTTAGAATGGCAAACAAGCTGACGGCCCACCTCATGGAAAGTGAAACGTATCCATCGCCTATAGACATGATCAGTACCATGGACATAACAGAGTATACTGTTTCGCCCATGATACCCCCCCATGCGTTGCCATTCCGGAGGACTCAGGTGTTATTCCTCTGTACCCTGTAAATTCACGCCATATCCCACCCTTCAAACCGAAACACAACCATGCAAACACAACTGTTTTACGGTTGAAAGACGGATGGAACAGAGGCACCCAAGCTTCTGTACAAAGTCTCCCTCTGGTATGGGGGAGACCTATGTTCAAAAGTAGACAGATAATACCTGAGATGATGATGATGAAGTTATTGCTTATACAAGACTAATTCTGGTCAGTATCGTCTACTGTAGATACGAGTATAAATGTCGCATACAAATACATCCAAGTTGGAACTATCAGCATACTAAATTACATGGGGATCCGATGAGCTATTGATACGCTGTGAGCTTAGTAAACACTATAAGGGGTAGTTCGTATTTGCATTCATTAAAAATGCTTTTAAAACGCTTAATTCTAATTTTAATATTTAAAATGGTTTCAACCGCCTTAAATAGAAGAGAATATTCTTAATTATGCAGTATGTTTTTATGTGTATGTTACACGATGTCTGCACCAATTGTAACGTAATTTTTTATAAACACTTTAAAACCTTCATTATTAATGCGACCCTGACGTTGATTTTGTTCAGCTACTTATATATATGACCGTATTTATGGATATTGGAAATCTGTAGTTGTTCATTGACTTTTGTTACTGACTATACCCCATATTTACCAATTCAGGTGATTCCTGAAGATAGTTTTTTTTTCAATGGCTAGTGATCCATGTTAGTCCCGTACTCGATTCGTCATAACAGAAATTTATTTCTAAAATTAATAATTTTTTAAATTATAGAAATTAGAACCAAACTCCATTTTAAACAATTCCATATCTATTCTATTATTCTTAGTTATTAAAAAATTGTCATTAGTTATAGACATTATATATATATATATATATATATATATATATATATATATATATATATATATATATATATATATATATATATATATATATATTTGATTCCAAAAGTACAAAACTTCCATTAAACTGGTGCGTTCAAATCATTTGATCCCACTGTTTTAAATGTGGAAGTTTCAATGTTTCAAACACGCTTAAAACAGTTTAAAAGCAGTAGCAGGATTTAAACGAAATTTACTACATATATATAACATAATTATGCCGGATTTACATAGAGTACTAAATATGCCGAATAAATTATAATATTACTTTATAGAAACATAAAAATAAACATAATTTACATAAAATAGGTAAAATAAATAAGGTCAATAATAAAACAATATTATTTAAATAAAAGCAAACAAAGATTATACTGCCAGAAAAATAAATAGGGAATTCATATTAACATAGATAATTGTAGACAATAAGAAGTTCACTTACACCATTACGCCAACACGAATAAAGCCTCGTTAATTATATCATAAAAAAAATCCCAGCCATTACGTGCAAAAAGTTGATAAATAATCGTAATATAGGCCGAAACTTTAGCCCCTAGGGACTAAGATTTGTATTAAAGAAATCGCATACGTAACAGGCACGTTCGACATACTTGTAAACAATTAAACATAAACAAAGTTCACCTGTTTTATTGTTAATATTAATCACTTGAGCTGTCACTGTTAAGTAGCGATAATCATGCGATCACGCGTCTGGGAACATCGCTTTTCGCGGCGTATTCCAGAAATGAAACGTAGAAGGTAGCGCGCGCCGTAGCCGCGGCAACCAGACTGGCCCCCGTACTACGGGTTACGCTCTACGTTCCTGACGCCCTACGCGTGGAGGTTCGCGCAGTCGCAATACTTCTAACAAAATCCATCAAGTGTAGGCGCTGTTAAACAAAAAGCTTCAGTGTTATATACTAGTAACTACTGTTCCATTTATTTAAAACTTTAATTGCAAATTATTGTATTATGATTGTCTCTTTTATAAATGTCTTTTCTATCATTAAATGATCTTAACATTACGCAAAGGTAAAGTATTGTGCTTTTACTTATTTGAATTATTTTGGCCTCAGGCTTGTGCACAATCGCAATATCTTAAGTTGTAATAAAATACGACGTTATCTATTAAACTTCGTATAGATCAAAACTTATTTAAATCTAGACAACAGTTATATCGAAAATAATCAGCAAAAATTTAATAATTTTGAGGCTAGATTGTTAAAAACAAATATAATAAATGCAAATTTTCTCACTATATTTATCATTACTAAATATTAATACGTTATATTAGAAATGTAAAAATTTCTTTGTTTGTTACCGTTTGACGCCTTAATGACTCAAATAATCGTGATGAATTTGGTATAAAAAGACAGAACCTGAGCTTTTTGCCAGTCGATCGATATCATTATATTCTAGAGAGTAGGTATTTTAATTAATAATTGATTGTTTTATAATAATATAAATAATTTCTTTTTAACCATTTTAATAAAATTCCACATAAAGAAAAGTAAACAGAAACATAAATAAATGGATGTTTTATAATTTTTCATGTTGTTTTTAATTCACCTACAGGTCTTTCAAACGTGAATTTAATTTTTCAGGATGGTCGATTTGCTTAGCAGAATTCAAAGACGAAAAATATATTATATGACTACTTATTTATTTTCATCACCTTATTTTTCGGTTTCATACAAACAAATATTGTACAAAATCCATGACAATAAATGAGCAAAGTCGATAAAAAATTAACAATATTAAAAATTGTATTAAAAACAAAAATCCCAAATTAAACGTGGATTTAAAAAAAAATTGTGGTAAAGCATTCCCGTGGAATAATTTACGATCATATTAATACAAGAGAAGAAAAGGGAGCAGCTAGTCTTCAATTTATACCATATTCTCAGATAAATTATTTTTTTTACACTAAATGGTTGTCTTATTAAAGATGTTTAAAAATTGAGTACGTATCAACTGTAAAGTTATAGTGGAGTGCAGAGTGCAAAGTTGTAGAACTTTGCAACTTTTCAAATGTTTTACTGAGACACTTAATATAAATTATTTTTGCATCTGAACAGATTACATCTTTTTTATAAAAAAAAAAAAATTATAATTTTAATAAAAGCAGTCGTCATTTGCGTTTGAGCGATCATCACATCATACCAGCCATTTACTGACCACTGCTTAACATAGGCTAGGCAGGCGAGTTGGCTAATGCAGTTAAGCTTTGGTGATGTTTTAAGAGGAACAGTGCTCTCCATCACTTAATCCTTAAGTTTCCTTAGTCGTCTCTTACGGTACCCATGGAATGGAATGGCTCATTCTATGCCGGAACTAGGCGGCACATTTAAGAAATGCGTTATATTATTGTTATTGTAAACCTACTGCTACTCGAAAAGAAAAATAAAGGCAATAATCTTTTTACCAACAGCACACCTGCAATTTAGTCTCCTTTCTCCAATATTGAGAGTACATGGGTAGTGAATGGGTAGTAGACACCAATTGTCGCTAGATGAGGTGCAAGCTCTTGCCCTCTGTGTTCTAAAGAAACTGCTGAACCGAAACTTTGTAAGTACATTTAATTATAGAGTAAGTATATTTATTTTAAATAATTCATTACATTTGTTGAATTTCGACACATGGCAGAGCGCCCAACCAAGTTCAAAGAAAAAGGGACTGGCGACACAAAAGCCTGGTGTAAAATTACTTAAACCATTTCGAGCTTACTTTTGACCCCTTCACAACTCGAAACCTATTTAATAACTATCATGAGTTATACTGTATTGTAATTATTTATATCAGTTTTACTCGCATTATAATATTTGTTAAACAGAGCCTCCTACCCACTATTCTCAGAGATTCTAACAGTGTAACCGTTTAGAGAATATCACAGGATAGACTTACTATCAGGATTCAGGAAGTATACTTTAGGTAAAATAAAACAGTAAACTTAATACGAGTCCCTATATTAAACCGAATGAATAACTTTTTGAAGATAAAAGATTTTTCTGCTAATTAATAAATAGTAAATACCCTCTGATGAATTACTATACATATAGACGTGCTCACCATATTGTGGTAAAATTTTAATCATTAGCGCTCTTTTAAAGGAACTGAAAACTAACTAAACAACTAAACTGAATATTATTTCCAAAGCAACATGGGTCGATAAATGACATAAAATATTGAACTTCCCATAATAACACGGCGCGTCCACCTGTTTTAAGAGGCTTCATTTGTCCTTCGACCTTGGGCCGTAAGATCGTAGCTTTACCTTTTTCCCCTACTACCTGCTAAAAAGTATCGCGATGACAGAAAGTAATTGTTTTGTCTGACGAAAGTGCTTATAAATATATTCTTTATTTATTTATTAACTCTTTATGGCACCACGTAATGAATAATACAAAAATATATACACATATAAATAATTATTATTAAACTGAATGTAAACATGGGTCAATAAATGATATGAAATGTTGAGCCTCCCATATTAACACGGCGCCTATATAAGGCTCACAAAATTTCCGCCCTAATAATTATATTCTATAGCATAAATTGATTCTTTGATTTATATACTGTCAGCTATTTCACCTTGTATAAAATATATATTATATATTTTTGGATACATATATAACAATTTCAACTAATCAGTAAATAGTAACAGACTATACGAACACAACTAATTATCTCTAGATATACATATATATATAAACTAAATATAGTTCAAAATATAAAAAATAACAATATAAACTTACCATTCATATCACTGTGTATCATATTCCATTAGCAACACACATAAGCTCCAAAATTTCAGAATTACGGAAAACCTGAAGAAAAAGAAACCTACAAATAATAATGTATAAAAGCCTCCGAACAATGATAACTTAATTTTTAATTAAATGCACTAAATACTTCGTTTCAAGATCTGTAAAAAGTGTCGTCTAAATAAGACGCATTCGGGCGATAATTTTGTTCTACGAGAAATAAAGAAGAATAGAATAGATAATATTTATTGATCACAAAACCGTTGTACAAAAAAAAACACATAATCATAATTACAAAAGAGAAAAAATTACCAAAGGGTCCCCATCGCGCAAGATTAAAAAAGTAGACAATTTTATAATCTTGATAAAATTAACGGTTCATCATCGGAACAAGAGAGACATTGCCAAAATTAGTTTAGAAGTGGCTAAAATGTCGCATAATAAAATTAAAAAATGTGATAAAAATAAAAATAAATCCGTGTTAAAAATAAAAAAATCGAAATAAATTTATTAAATTTTTCGTATCTTTTTTTAAAGTAAATTGTAATCCCTATGTATGTTACATTAACCTACGTGCATTAGCCTGTTTTTTTTTTAAATTTATTTCCTTAAGTAGTTTTCATTCTTTGAGTGGCGTCAACGTACATAGTTTCTGATTTGGACAACATACTCAAAGAAATGTATTTTTCTGATGTCGATTTTTGAATTCTTTAATTTAATTGAAGAATATAGGATAGGGTTTTTTAATGATCATAAATTAAACTTTTACTGGTTTTATACTATTATCCTTATTAATAATATAAATGTGTGAGTTTGTTTGTTGTTACCTTATAGCGTTTTAACGATTGAACCAATCACTATAAAATTTAATATAGGTACATGTACTATGTGAAGTATAAAAAGATATAGGCTACTTTTTATTCCGCTCTGTGAACATATGCCCATTACGCATACAAAATAGCGAGTGAAAGCTAGTTACTAATAAACAAGGCTAATGATTTGTAAATAGAATAAATAGCATTGAATGAGTTAATAAACATAACATAAAAGTAGAATATCAAACTTTCAAGAAGATAAGAGAGTTTATAAATAAAGGACAATCATAAAAGGAACAGAAGAAGAAAATACGATTTAGATCTTGTTTGCGCCACACTCACATATATTTCTGTCTATTCTTTAAAATTCCGCCAAATGAGCAGGAATATAAACATGGCCAATACGCATACGAATTATTAAGCTTGTGACAATGTTATTGAAATTTAAAGTAAAAAAAAACAAGGTTTTAAACGAATTGATAGTTGAATTTTATAGGTAATAGATAGATAGATACTCTTTATTGTTTCCTCCAATGATTTTTTTTTTTTTTTATTTAATCATACCAAAAGTTTTTGTAAATATAAATATCTCCTGAATACTCTTACTTCGTAACTAAGCTTCGTAAATTTATTTCAAATTCCGATTCTAACGGATTCAAAATATCCTCCAATCGAAACTAAGAAACGTTCAAAGACAATTATTATGGGTTTAGTTAATATTTTGACTCTTGATCGGGAGTCAATTTGACATTGACATTAACAGTTTGACAGCCAGCCCAGCTGGTTTAATTCAAAAGTCAAAACAAAATGTTTACTTCAGTTGATACCTATCAGCAACATAATTTGCTTTACTCTCTGGCTTGCATTGTTTCTTTTTTTTAGTATCTTACCGCTGTATCTTGAATGTAACTTAGTGTTCTTTTATTTTTAAAACTTTTAACATGAAATCTACTTCAACATTAACGCGATTTCACAATTGTTACATTCTACGTGATAATAAAATAATCAAAGAAGACCTATGGATTCGTGATGGAAAAATCGAAAATCCTGAGCAAATATTCTATGTAGAGCAACGTGAAGCAGACTTAACTGTAAATTGCGAGGACTTACTCATTGCCCCTGGGTTCATTGACATTCAAATAAATGGTATGTTTCAATCGTACATAGAAAATACTTACTTTTGTTCATTTTTCTTGTAATTATTTATTGTTATTAATATATATGCTATATATTATAACGATGCCCTTATATTTTCAGTGTCACTTTATGCTACTATTTTTATGTGCTTACTACACACTAAACAATAATTACCTTGTCAGTGTTAATTATTACTATAAGTAATATTTGTTTTGCCTTACAAAGGTGGCTGGGGAGTTGACTTTTCATACGATTCAGAAAATGTTCAAGAAGGACTAAACAAAGTTGCAAAAGAGCTATTGTCACATGGAGTTACCTCTTTTTGTCCAACCATGGTAACATCAGAACCTGAAAAATATCATAAAATCTTACCACAAATAAAAAAGACTCCAGGCGGTAGACATGGTGCAACTATCCTTGGTGTTCACTTAGAGGGGCCATTTATAAGTCCAGCCAAAAAAGGTGCTCATTTAGATGAATACATCAGGGTACCTGAGAAGGTTAGTGGTACATTTGAAAGTAATCCAATTAATGCCTTATTAATTTATTAGAATATTACCTGCAGTTTATATATGATGATATATTTATAGATGATAAACTCCAACACACTAATCAACATAAATTTTTTTAAAGAAGTTAAGTAAATTATAAAATGTTACACTATCTCTCCATTTAACACATACATTTTAATTATTTTTTAATGAATTTCTACAATTGAAGTCCATATACATGATAATATAATTTCGATTTAGCTTTGACTTTGTCTGAATATGGTTATGCAGACAGTCACAAGAAAGTCGAAATAATATCATCCTGATGTATATGTTAATCAACTAGAATAAAAGAGGCTTATGTCCTTTGTGATGATTTATTGAGGTATTAACATATTTTTTCATTAAATAAAAATGAAATTATATCTATATTTTCTATGTTGGCATGATACCAATTAATGATGATAAAAAAAGATAAATTTAAGTCAGTTGGCCCATCATGACGAATTCAATGGAAATGAATCATGATGGTTTTCAAAGAGGACCATGCAGTGGTGACATTATATTGCTATCAATTAGGTTATTAGTCCCCATTACTCATTAGTAATAATTTTTTTTTCTCTGACTTGCAGTGTCAAGAAGTAAAAAATAAACTCACACTAATTTATAATTTTAGAAAGGATTTTATTGTTTATTTCAACTTCCATTAACTAGGTCAGTAACTTTTTTTATTGTTTTTGTCTGTTACAACATTTATCATTACAAGTTTATCATTAGCCTACTTTTCAACAAGAAACTCTGTTTAATGAACCCTTTATCTACCACTATCAGTTGGTATTGAACAATATATGCTATTGAACTTTTTATAAATCATTGTGATAACTGTCTGAGTACCTATGCAATATGAAAACATATTTTACTATTATACATTGCATATTTTTTTTTATTTTATATAAGCAGCTATGGTTATTCATTGTATACAGAAAATAATGTGTACGAGTATGTCCTTATTAATATTTTCAAATAGTGACTTATCCTAACACTGTTCAGTTTTTAATACAATACAGCCTATATGTATGTTGATATTATTATTTAAAAATTATTAAAATCAATTAAGAATTTAAGTATATTCATCACCATAGGCATATTTAGAGAGCGAGCCGGGTAGGCATTGCTCACCTTAGCATCGTCCAGCCAACCCCCAAAAAAATAAGTTTAATCTTAAATACATCAATATTCAAACAAAAAGTCTCTCCTCTTTATAATATCAGTTTAGAAGTGATAGTGAGTTTGTTTATTACCTCTTGGGGCTTGAACGATTTGACTACTAAAGCCCAAAGTTAAATAATATCTCAAAGTTCTAAAAGACAACCATAGTATTAAAATTAATGTAATCTTTCTGGTATGTTTTTATATACATTCAGTACATTTTTTAATTGAAGCATTTGTAAGTATTAAAAAAAATTTCAGGGTTTAGAAACAATGAAGCAAGTGTATGGAGCTTTAGATGATGTGGTAATTGTAACCCTTGCACCTGAACTGCCAGGGGCAACACAAGCTATAAAAGATCTGACCAAATTAGGCATAAAAGTAGCTGTCGGTCATTCGTCTGCCGGCCTAGCACAAGGAGAGGATGCAATAAGAAATGGTGCCAACTTGATTACACACTTATTCAACGCTATGTTGCCAGTACGTATAACTATTGTCTATTAGGTTTCAAATATTTTTTTATGCTGTCTCCTATAGCAGAAATGAACAGCGCCATGAATATCTTTAACTGAGTAAACTGTATTCAATTTTAGAAAATAGGTACAATTTTAATATTGCATACAAGCTTTTACTCGCAGCATCGTCCTGGTAACCTAGATGTGTTCACTGACCATTCCCATATAATATTTATGTATATACTAAATTTCATATTAAGACGAATTTGCAGATTTATAATATATATTCTGTAGAGTTAAGAATAAAGAATACTGGAAATAGACTGTACTAGTATTGATTCTTTATTCTTATCATATCACTACCTGACGAAATAAAAAATATAACTTATTGTATTTGTATTTTAATTAAAAGTTGAAAAATAAAGATGCCTATTAGAGAGTGAATAACAGAAAATGATGAATTTGTAGTAATTGACAGCTTTTACGCTTATAGTTCCTATAATATAAAAATTTATGATTTAAAAAAATTATCAGCTAAAATATTTAGTAGATAGATAGATACTCTTTATTATTTCATCCAAAAGATTACAATAGTAGACTTATTATTTATACTTAGTTATTAAACTTTTGCCCCTTTTAATCTTTGTGGCACTATTTTTAGTTCCATCACCGTGATCCTGGTTTAGTTGGACTTTTAGCATCAAAAACGGATAAACAAGTGTATTATGGAATTATATCTGATGGTATACACACACATCCATCGGCATTGCGGATAGCATGCAGGGCTAATCCTGAAGGTAATAGACATTAAAATCTTAGTAATAATATAAATAATGGTCAATAAATTTAAAATTAAGTTACGCAGTGGCAGGTCGATAAATGATATAATTTTTTGAGAGAACTCAAAAATATTAAGTAACAATCATATAATTATTTACACAATGACATAATTTGTACTTTTCTATTAAATAGAACTGGTATTGCATCTAATTTATTTTTATTGATTGATTTTATAAATACTACTATAATTTTATTATTATTAACCTAATGAATAATTAACCTAATGTTAAAATACTTAAGTATAATAATAAACTTGTACTTAACAATCAACGAGTTTGCAAGCTTTATAAGGCGAATATTCGTACTTCACGATAAATCAAGGTCTGTAAAAACAATGTTCTGGCAAATAAATATGTATATCTATCTATTTAATTATTATTATTATAAACTAACTTTTTGCTCACTACTTCGTACGCATGAATATCAGCCATGGAAATAAAATACTTCTTGATATAAAGGACTTCTAGATGTCATATCAAGATAAAATATATGCACATCAGTTTTTAAGTTAAATCTTCTAAAACACAACTGTAAAAACATGCATTCAATTTGGTGCAATAGCCGTAATGCCGGACCATATAGACAAATAAAACTTTAAAATTATTATTTTAGCATCTATTACTCTTATTAAGGTCCCTTATATTAATTTTTCTTAAATATCTACCATGTACAGACTTCGTCAAATTAAAATTTTATTATATTAGATTATATTTTTTTTGTGATGATGTTTGTTGTCATTCACACTTAAAAGGGTGATAGATTTGAATGAAATTTCGTATATAAATTGATGGTGAAATAAATTATTTCCTTGTACCGTCAAATTCTTAGTAACAAATAAATATCTACACATACAACAGCCTTGACTTGGCTGTCCGCCATCTCTTTAATTGGCGACAAATTATAATTGTACATTTGCAATACTTAATATTGTAGATACTGTAAATTTACATTCCAACGTAAAAGTCACTTAAAACAGTAAAATAAAATCCTTTATTTTTCAGGACTGGTGTTAGTAAGTGACGCCGTAGCAGCTCAGGGATTAGCTGATGGTAACTATCGAATAGGACCACAAGCGGTCACAGTTGAGGAAGGCCGTGCATACCTTACAGGAACGAAGGTCTTATGTGGCAGTACCACTGCTTTAGACTCATGTGTACTTACTTTTAAAGATTCTATAGGTAAGTTATTCATCGTATTTTATATGTATAAAGCGTTCTAGATCGTTATTTTATACAACTTAGTATCAGTTGCATGAGAAAGAATACCTATCTATAAACTTATCTTTGAAATTAATCAGATGTGCTAGTTATACTCGTCTCACGTTTTTCGGTATTTTACAGAATGCTCCTTGGAGTATGCTCTGCAAGCAGCCTCCTTACATCCAGCACGTGCACTCGGTATTGACAACAGAAAAGGAAAACTTAATTTCGGATATGATGCAGATTTTATTATCTTGCATCCTAAAACCTTAAAAGTTCTATCTACATGGATAGCAGGTGAACGCGTTTTCACACGTCAAGGTGATACCGCATAACGTACAATGTACTAATGAAATTGTATTAATACACATATATCTGTCACGCCTGCCTCTAAAATTGTATATATATACCATTTTTTCAAAATAAACTTATATATAATACCTATCTTATTTGACAACTTTTATAGTGCTGTGACAGTAACACAGAAACAGTAGTTTGAATAAAACGTTTCGTTTTCATATCTTAATGTAACAAATTTTAGAAATTTTATAAATTGGCTGATGTCTTGGTGCTCTGGACTAAACCCCTAGATTTTCGATCGCTGATCTATTATAATATTCTTAAATTGGAAATCAGGTAATTGATGTGATTATGTGATACTTCAGAGTGCTTTTTAGTTGTGCCTTAAATTTACCGTGATTGAGATAAAAATGCCTGCTATATGCTCTAAGGCAATGCACGAGTAATATCTGACGAATGGTTAAGAGCGTTTGTAACTTTAGCTTACCAAAGTGTGGCAACATGGAAATTGTCTTTATCTACCAACTTAGTACAGATAAGAAGAAAACGAACGCAAACCGACTTTGGTCTACCATAAATTAATACACTGAATATCAATGAGTCACAATTTTAGTAGAGTGGCGATTACGATTTATGAGGTCTTAATAACAGTAAATAAAATATAACATATACATTATTTTTGATAATAAAAGTCATCGCACATTATATATATTGATGACAATAATGTACTAGTCAAACTAGTACATGTTTCTTTAAATTTTTGGTTTGGACCTTAAATTTGGAGACACTGGGGCCGATTCTGAGGCGCTATTTCTCTAATCCTATCTCTTTAATATTTTAATTTGATAATTTCGAATTTTCTGTTTTATGGACCATTGTAAACTAAATTTATAAGAAATTTTGTACATATTGATTCTTAAAAGTTTCGGTGCTATCCCAAAATAAAATTTTAAGAGATAGAATTAGAGAAATGGCGTCCCAGAATCGACCCTATTGCTTGTAATTTAGTATGTAAACATATTAATCAATTTTATTCAAAGTGAAGCAAAAAATATGATTTGTTTGCCATTACTACGAATAGGTAAATATGTTATTTTTTGTTAAAAAATTATAATAAATATGCATCATATACTGTTATTTTTTTCTTGAGAGTTCCCCTTCACAAAACACCTATCAAATATCTTATACTAATATTATGATATATACGATAAATATATGTAATCACAGATTTTTTTTTTTCGATTTCTGAAGCTATAAAGCACTGGATATTTTACAGTATTGATTTCTGATAATATATTGTTGACCAACCTGCATTGAACAATATAGAAAGTTAATATAGTTTTTAATATTTAAATTGCTGAAATATAAAAGAACTTGATGACAATATTCTCAAATACAAGTTCCTTCGTATCTATCCAAAGCTGTGACAATTTCAACAATCTACAAACTATGAAATAGTTATCTAATACGAAGTGTTTTTTTTAATTGGTATTAGCATTATTAAATGCACTTCTCGAACAGAACTAATTGCGGTGACAGTAGCTAAGAGTAGTTCATAATAATAATTTTTAGTTTCTAATACTCTCTACATAGAGTCGATGCTTTTAATAATGGCGTTTATTAACATGTGAAAAATTAAGGATAACTAAATAGCAAACAAATTTCGTCAATAGCAAACAGTTTATCCCAATCCGTTACGTAGTTTAGAAGCGAAGAATCAGCCGCGCATAGACAGCGACTTTATCTTAGTTTAATTAGATTTAAAATAACAAGTCCCGTCAATTATCTAATTAGAAACGTGAAACAATCAAAACCCCATTTAGTGGCATGGAAAATCTTTATTGAAGTAAATATATTTATAAAGTCAGTACAATTTAAGTTCAATAGTTTCCAAAAATATTAAAGTGCAGGTTGCTGATCACCTGGCAATGTTAAATATGATTATTTCTTAATTAAAATACAAGCTAATATTGAGAAAACTGTAATATGTGAATAATAACATGTATATACCTAAATAAAATCATGACAAAAATATATTTTAGGCAGGCTCTGAATTACACTGCTCTATGCTGTTGTTATCCTGGCCACAGTTCACAATAATAAACTTATAATTATTAAGACACTGCTGAGATCACATGAAAACTTGCACTCACCATAAAACAAAAGGAAGAGTGCAACAGACAAAATGTCCTCAATTCTCAAGTAACTTCAGCGGTGTATGAATTTGGTCAAAGTAAGATGTGCAACTAGTTCAAATAAATTTTATCTCTGTCCACAAATAACATGGATAACAAATATTCTCCGGATAAAATGTCTAGTATGGCTTTAATTTATACACTCAATTCCGCCACATTTTTCGAATGGTGGACAGACAACCAGTTGGGCATCTTATTTTACAATAAAATTAAACATCAAATTACAAACCACGCAATGTATATTCATGTATACAATAATATTACTAAGTGTATGTATATAATGTAAATACATTTTCATGAAAAACAAAATAATATCATGGAATATTCAAAGAGCCAAAATACTTGAGATTAACTCTACCTTGATACCACATTAACTTCTAAGATCTAGGCACAATGCAGCAGAGACTCCTGTATGGATTACATAACAATTTTCGTTGACTGTGGGGCAAAATGGTACAATTATTCAGTAAACACCATCACACAAGATGTGCTGAAAACATTATCTACAACGGTCGTCTCGCTATATTATTTATACTCGTAGTGGTACATATGATAAAATGTTGAACTCTGAATAAAGCTTACAGAGTAATCTATAGCAGGCGAGCAGTATACGATAATGGTTTCAAAGGATTAATGATACTCCTATGTGCTGATGCTACCGATGCCCCTGCAGCGTGCACTCAGCGGCATGCTGCCTCGAAGGCAAACAACTACATCTAATAAAACTTCAACGTTTACAATGTTTTCAAATCTTTACGGAGGGTATTGTCTGTTAGATATATAATTTCTTGTCGCTGAAGTCCACAGTCACACAAAACACGTCCGTGTGGACTACTCCTAAGTTTAAAATACTTTAACAGAATTAAATTATTGAGCAATATATTCTTAAGAGAATATAGTAGAGTAGAGATTTGCTCGGCTGCACCAACTCTACGGAAAAATCATGACGTTAACCCTAGTATCAAATACCAATGCACACTCCACAAATGTCATTTTCAAGAAAATTAATAATAATTAAAGGAATTAACAATCTTTGGATCAAAATTAAAATACGCATTTGCAAAATGCACCTTTCACGCTAAATTACGATAATTTTCTCATTTTTAACAAAAAAAAGGTGACAAGAAACTTAATTCAGACCTATAATAATATACTTAAATCTAATTTTAAAACAAAAAAAAAAAATAGCCATTTTAACGTACACCTAAGCCAAATAGGAAAATTCCGGGAGTTGCGATCACAATTTTTATGAAAAACCAAATTGATTCGGTATGATATGTTTTGTTATTTACTGAATAATTTGTGAGATGAAAAATATTTAAATGGCTGCTTATGTGAAAAAATTATGCTTACAGTTATAGAAACAATTAAAAATAAGATCACTACAATACGTAAATACCAAGAATTGTATATTAAAATATTTGTACTTTTACTGACTAAAGGAAAAACATTGGCAACTGCTAATAATCCTACAATTGTAAAAAAAATAACTTGTATAATGTAGACTGAAAACGGTCGTCTCAAATTCGTTCACTCTAAGATGTGGAATGCAATTAGAATTCTTTAACAATATTAAAAGGTATAATAATATATTAAATTTTTATATCAGCTCAACAATGTATATAATCTATAATAATTTAAAAGCCTAGATCCAAACTGTGATATTTATTGCACAAGCACACATGTGGCTTAAAATTCCAATGGGAATAGAGCTCACAACCTTATTATTATTTATGTTGTTTTTTAAAAACAGTGGAGACCAAACAAATAAGGTGGGTAAGAATTAAGTCACCATCAACCGTTTGAGCATACTGTTTTATAACATAAAGGAATAATTGATCAGATGAAAATACAAATTTAAATCCTACCCACAGTCAAGTAACACGGTCTATAAGTAATGAATTGAATCGTTAATGCCACAATACTCCACCAAAACCATCTAGCTGTGCTTGGTGCCACAACATAGGCAATACGCCCACCTCCAATAGGGAGGGTAACATTAGAGCTCACCTTGTGCGCTGCGAACCCTACGACTATCACCTTACTTGGCACCGCGTGCTGACGTTCTTGACATCTAAGCCCACAGGTTGGGTAGCTACCTCGCTACCAAACGTTCACCTATTTATTTCGCCTTCCAAAACGGACGTTCGTGATGTCAAGAAAATAGCGATTCTCAGCGCCATATAAAGCGATACTACACAACTACTGAAGTAATTTATTGCTGGATACATAAGGGAATATAGATTCAAGAGAAATATATTTACCAAAAATTGCTTTAAAGTGTATATAGGTAACTTTTAAGATTCCCGAGAAAGGCTACTGTAATGTACTCTAATGATACAATTATTATCAATTAATGTCAATGGACAATAAATACCATTTGACCTGCCATTATCTCATGACATAGTGCTTACTTGCTACGGCAAGAATATACAGCCAAGCAGACACGGCGAAAATCCGCCGTGACCGCGCCAACCACTAATAAACATTTCTAAACAACACCACCGTATAGGCAAACTTGTGATACTGTTATGTTGTGTATAATCAAATTGAAAAATACTAATTCCTACAAAAATTCTACGCTGACGCATTCTACATAAGATATATGGCAAGAACAAAAGGAAACATTGTCAATGAGATATCACCAATTAATTCAAGATGTAAATAATATAAACTATAATACTTTAAAATATAAGAATATCAATGTCATTGCAATTATTTGGAAAGTTACATATATGTATGTATTTATTATAATAATAATAATAATTATATAATGACATTTTCAACTTTTAAATTTATTAATATTGGAATTCACACATAAAATAGTATAATTTGTAAAATTATCCAAAACTTATCACACCACTTTTTTAATATTTTATGCAACCCTAAAGCAATATTTATTATTAGCGTCAAACGCTCCCTTTGGGGCAATAATAAGTTCTATTTCGGTTAATTTTACTTCACTAACACACAATAATTTTGATCAATGACAACAAATTAAAAATGAACATTATATATTAACCCTGAATATTAATAATAAAACAAAAAAAAATTGGCAACAATTAGTGACTAATTTTTACAAATATCATACAATAAAATAATTACTATGTGCATGCACAAATATCGTAAGAAAATAATTTGGCAGTAAAAATTCGTAACTCTAAAGGCCTAAAACACACTGGCCAAAAATACTATTCAAATATAGGCCCAGAACATATAATTAAACAAAACAGTAAAATGAAAAATTAGAGTATTAATCACACCTACTCATCCGCGAGGGGTATGTAGACTCGTATTTTAAACCTACTTAAAATAAAGAAAATAAAATTCCCTAATGCTATCGGGACAAAAATCCTGAAACAAATAACTTAAAAACAATATAGAAAATAAACCCAAAAATTACTCACTAATCAATAGAGGATTCAGACTCAAACGTCAATGTTCAACTTATCACTGGTTCTCCATCGACGGACCCACGGCGCTACGCCCCGTTCCCACGTCCAATACCGCGGTTACGACTCATAATGTCTTTGCAAATCTTAAATTGTTGTTTCATTATGTTTCTCTATTATTGCTCATATCACATCAAATGTTGCAAATATTTCAAATATTGATAATCTGTTCCAACAACAAATAAAATAAATACCCTATTGCTAATTAAGTACAAGTATTAATTTTAAAACTATGTTTCAAACTTGTTACGATAATAAATATGTATATTTAATGATAATAATATGGCTCAGCAACTACGATTAAACGTGCCAAATATTCTCTGTTGTGTTTAATATATTATTTAAATGCATGATAATGTAGGTAATCGTCCAGCATCAAAGACAAGGCAATACATTATGAGAAGTATCATAGTAACGACTATAACAATATTGTGACCCTAAACAGAAGAACATGAGGCTTCCCCGACAGTGAAATACATAATATTCGCTATTAGTTATAATATGAAAAGATTTTTTTATTTTTCAAGCACTAAATTGTACAGGGCTACGCAATTTGATAAGTGCAATTATTCTTCTACATCTTTAGAGCGTAATGCATAGATTTTAAATATTATGAAACTAATTCTAGTCTTGCCTTTTTAGTTGAACGATCTACCAAACCATGCATATGAAACTAAATTTATATCATAGTAATTTTTTATCACTACATTTCGAAGCTAAACGCATAAAATTTAGAGAGCTTTGTAAAAATATGACAAATTAATATAGGCTATAAAATATCACACTTAATTTTAGGTGGTCTGAGTTAAGTACTATTTCGAAATGTTTTTGCAAAACAAAATAATGGTCACGTACAACGTATCATGATATTTAGATATGTTATAATATATATATAATGAAATATTTAATTTCGTTGGCTCAATTTTGGCTCAGCATATCCGCCGTGGCTACTAAAATCATTGTTGTATATAAGAAAAAAGCTATAATGAGAAAATATTAAATCTTTTTTGAAATTCCTTCGAAAAAGCCTAATTACAGTTGGAAGACTATGAGTTTACGCAATTACAGTGTATTTTTATTTAAATATAAATTGTATCTGACCATTACTTGTGAATTACAAATTAGCATAGACCCTATTACCATATTATTATCGATGTGTCTACTTCGAAAAATGTCCCATATTTAATTATGATAGATCTATTATAACCATTAAACGGGACGCTTTTAATAATGTGAAGATCTAAATATAGTGTCGTATTCTGTGAACCGCAGATCCATAATATTCATCATTTGTTTACCACCTAATACTATAATTTCCAATTTTGAATTTAAATGTGGATAGTTATAAAAATATGTATATAAGTAATATTTTAGCGACAATATAGTGTCGACTTTTCTATAGAAATAAAATACCTTTTTATTAGCAAATTCATGTATACAGCTAAGTTGGGATGATTATTAAAAGACTGGGTGCGGTGGGTAGTGTTTTCATATATCTTTACATATGTGCAGGTGCTAATGTATAGTTTTTCAAGAAAAGCTGTAAAAGTTCGTGTCAAAGAAACCCTACACTTGTTTTGTGACAGATGTTGTGACAAACAACATTACTGCACTAAACGAACAAATAATGTATCATTCCCAACAGATAAAAGTAACAAAAAAGTTCCAATAATATTCTTATTGAGCTATATACACGAAGATGCCACAAAATGTTAAATATCTTACTTCGTTTAACTATCCCAGATACATTGTACAAATTTATTGCAAAGTTATATAGCGGCTTCCCCATACCAGAGCACTGTGGTTCACTACTAGATAAATTTATAATGAACCGAATTTTAATAAGTATGTATATCATAATAGCCTACTCATGAAAAATCTTTCAAATATGTAATAGGCTCTCAAAACAAGAGTACATGAAAAACATTTTGTATAGACACAAGAATTCTGTAAATGGTAAATATATTTTAACGGACAATATATAATATTGTATACGAGATTAACCTAAACTAGATGGCACGTAATAATAGTGTCGCCTCCTTTGGTCTTAATAACACTAAAATTTTGTTACAATGAACTCAAATTGTGCGTTCGTATTTGTTCACTATCAAGCGAATTACTAATATCTAAAAAAAAGTGGTCAATTATTTTAAAACAATATACGTATATCGGGCGACAGTAAGTTTGATGAGGCGACACTCCCACGCAGTCCCCTAATTGACATGTGTTTAAACTTCACTCGAACTAGGAACCACCATACCAGCTGCTAATTTAGAAACGTAATATTTATAACAGTCCAGTCAATAACTATAGATGTTACATTTCTGGTAGTAAATTTGGTAGGATGGTAATTTCGAGTCCTAAAATAATATAAATATTCCCATAAATATAGTGTAATATAATAATATTGTCAATATATAATTAGGACTAACATTAAAATTTTAAAAATTAGCATTCGTTTTCATGTCACTGCCACTTTTAGTACAACTTTTAATTGTTGCTCTACTATAAAACAACGATAGTGACACATATATCATATTTAGGACCAAAAACTAAGCACCCAGAACCAAATCAAGTAAAAATTAACTCTTGATAATTGCCTGGACATTAAAATATAAGACAAATAATATTACACTAAACTTTGGATTTCCCGTTACTATAACTAAATGCAAAAATGAAAGAGGAATAAAACCCAAAAATACACTCATTCAGTACTTTGGAAATAATGACTTGTAAAATCTATCCACAAGCAGTGATACAATGCTGCTCACTAAAATGCCACAAATAAAATATACATATATATATGAAGCTTAGAAAAATGGGATCGCTATGACTCACTGCACATGGACAGAGTGTAAAATCAGACTAACATGAATTAAACATAAAATAACGAAAAAAAAGTAGTCAAATACTGGTTTAGCAAAAATGATAAGCTTTGTAAAAACAGTAATATAAAAGGGAATAAATGTGAGATCTTGTAGTATGCAGACTTACAGCCATCAAATTACTCCTCAGACAATATAAAGAGTGTTGAGGACTAGAACGTGATGATTATTCTTAGCCAGAGTGACAATATACCCCTCCGATGTAATCTTCAAACCGCAGCAGCGAGAAACCTGTAATTAATCATTTATATCCTTCAAATTTCAAATTAAATATAAAATTATCACAAATCGTAGTTTTATAACACAAAAAAATATGAACAAAATGTGTTTTGATATTGTGGACATTAATAATAAACCTTCAAATATGACATAATAATGAAATTCTATACAATCGCACAATTTGTTTGATCCTCTAACCAAGTTTTGTTGAATGTGTTTTTGTAATGTTATCTACCACTCGACGCCTTAAACTGCTCAACCAATTATCATGAAATTGGGATACCGTAGTACTTGCATTGAAGAAGAACACAATACACTTTTTATCTTGATCAAACTGTGTTTACTTTGTGCAAAAAACAAATTTAATATATATTACCTTTACATATGGGCATTCAAACTCTGTGACCAGTACACCGTCGCGCGAAAACACAGCGACATGGAACTTGTTACCGTGCGAATCACCAATGAGTACATCGCCGGCATCCGAAACGTCTATGCCGTTCGGGAAATTGGTCACATTCTCGCATCCAATGCGCCGCAAAAACCTACCCTCGTCGTCAAATACGACAACACAGTGGCCTTTAAAATCACACACGTAGAATTCTTTGCCTGAAATAGTAAAACACAAGAAATAGTAATAAGTGTATAGGGGAAATCAATGTTCAGCAGTGGACAGTTAATATGATGATGATAATGAAGAATAAAAAGTAAAACTAAATACGCTAAAAAAAAATCGATTACTTTACAGGTTATCAAAAAGTTATTTCAAATTAAAATATTAACTATTTACACAAGTCCTTTAATTAATATCCCAAGACCATAAGATATAAACATATAGGAGTAATAATTTTTAAAAGCAGTAACTATCTCCGACCTTAGGATGTCGTAACCGTATTACATTTCGTTTAAATCTTTGTGACTATAATATTGTCGATTCAATAATAGACTCTTAGAGAACTTTTTTTTAAACAACTTAAAATGGCAAACAAGCTGACGGCCTACCTAATGGAAAGTGGTAACCATCGCCTATAGACATGAGCAGTACCATGGACATAACAGAGTATACTGTTTCGCCCATGATACCCCCAATGCGTTGCCATTCCTAAGGACTCAATGTTATTCCTCTGTACCCTCTAAACTCACGCCATATCTCACCCTTCAAACCGAAACACAGCCATACAAACACATCTGTTTCACGGTTGAAACACGAATGGGACAGAGATACCCAAGCAATCGACTTTTGTACAAAGTCTCCCTCTGGTGACTCTATGCAAAATAATTATTGATATATTTAGGAAACACCAAAGTTATCCTCACGTACTGGGCACGTATCTAAACGACAAGCCATTGTCCAGCAAAAATAATTGGTGGAGTCGGCTAAAAACAAAGCACTTTATGTCTCAAGGACACGCAACTGACATCTAAGTTTCTTTGGACAATATAGACAATACTTTGTTATTGTAAAGGATGGCAAATGTTATTATGTGTACTCAAAGAAGTAATATGGCTATGTACATAAATACAATATTAAATGTACTAATACAATCAACTTACCACTAATTGCAATATCCGAGGGCTCTCTCATACATTCACTGCAATCAAACCACCTCATCAGATCACCTTCCTCAGATAAAATAAAAACAGTAGGTGTCACACTATCGACCGCAACGATTAATCCTTCAGCAGTGACTGCTAGACCCGCCACAATATCAATGAATCGCACCTACAAAAAAGATATATTTTTATAATTAAGATTAATAAAAAAAATTAATAAAATTAATATGAGCAAAAGACTTACAGCAATCTTCTTTAAAAAGTGGCCATTTTTTGTAAATATTTGCATTCGCGACCTTTCATTACCACGATCACAGACAACGAATTTTCCAGTAGCCCGAACTACAGCCACTTTACGGGGGTACCACAATTGACCTTCTTCTTTACCAGCCACTCCAAAATTGAACTTGTGATTTCCAGACTTATCAAACACCTACAATTTTTATAATTTGTATCAAATATTTAATGTTTTATATACAATATTAAGAATATATATTAATGTATAAAATGTACCGTTATACGATGATTATTTGTATCAGCAACAATAATGTCCTCATCATTTCCAAGACAGAATCCGTGCGGCGAATTAAATTGTCCCTTGCCTCCACCAAGTTGACCAAACTTAAATCTTATATGCATAGGTGTAGCCTTAGTAGCACGAACAAGCGGCGCCGGTGGTGCGACAAGGGCTGCTTCTTCAGCAGCAGTCAACAATGGTCTTCCAGGTGATACACCACGGGGCCCCACACCCCCAATTCCACCAACACCTCCAACTCCTCCAAAGCCATTTACTTCTACAAATAAAAAAATAAATATTCTTCTTTTAATTAATTATATAAACATTACATACATATATACAAATTGTTGTAGATTCTGAAGTGCCAGTTCTATACTTTAATATTTTTATTTGGATAGTTTAGCGCAGTTATTAGGGGGCGTTCAAGTATAACAGTGTAGCAATTTGAGTTTCGGATCAAACAATGCAATATGCAACATTGTCTTTTTTTTTTATTTAAATCAGAAACTGTTATAAGTAAAAAAAACACAACCATTTATATTTTACAGGGAATCTATAACGATACAAGATCGTACATGCCAACCTGTATTGTACGTCATTTTAATTTTGTTTTCATTGTCGGTATTCATTGGTGTAGTGATTCAGGTATTACGTAAGAATATTACAGCATTACAGGGTTATGGAAAAATGTTCTTTTCATCATCTTCAAAAATTGTGTTGCATAATACTTGAACATACCCTTATATTACAAGCTACAGAAGACTAGTAATTCTGACTCAATTCTATTATCAATTTATGATGCTTCATTCTGGATATTTAGATTTAATATATTATCAAACTGAAATTTTTATTTGAGAGTTTTGCATTTTAGAATGGAACTACATTATAATAATTTAAACTTTACCTACCTGTATTCAATCCTAGCTTAGCAAGGGCTTGCAAATTGTTGTATGCTTGGGGAGAATTTAAATCTCCAGCTAATAATTCAGCAAGCGTAAATGAAGAAGCTGGTGATGCATGAGGAGGTGGAGGCACTTCCTTTTCTGCAATGCTGGCCAGTTGTTGTAAATTATATTCTACCATAGATGGCAAAGCTGGTACACCGCCTACTCCAGGAACAGGGCCAACACCAGGAGCACTGTTAACATTCACTACTCCAGGCATAACACTGGTATTTGGAACCGTATCTACTCCCGGCACAGCGCCCACTCCAGGAACGCCTATAGTCGGTACAGCACCCACACCAGGAACCCCCACAATACTAACACCAGTCACTCGACGCACATTGCCCAAAGGATAATCATCAAATACAGGTGCATTGGTTACAGATACAGCAGGAGAATGAGAGTTAGATGCTACAGATACAATAGCAGAAGATTCGCTAGCACGTTTGCGCTCTTCAGCTTTGGTAGCTTCTGTTCGAAACACTCCAAATGTTTCTTCTGCAATAGTGTCAAACTTATCCATCTTGGTTACAAACTCCAATGAATAATCCACATCGAATTCTGGCGCCCCTTCGAGTAAACGTGCGAACTGGGAAGCAACAGTTTTCTTCAACATTACTATTTCCGTACCATCACCCCGACGGAGTAGTCTTGCTGCAAATTTACAAGCACAATCGATGCGTTGAACAGTCTTATCGACGCGATCGAACAAATCCATTACTTTAAGCTCTCTTTCTTTGTGTAAACGTTCAAGTTCTTCAAGGGTCTTTTCACGACGCCTTTCTAAAGCTGCTTTATATGCATGGAATGCTTCATTGATGATACTTTCAGCTTCATCACGTTGACGTTGTAAATCGCCTAAAGCATCATCAAGCCTCGCAGAAGCACTACCAGCAGCAGCTGCACGAGCATTACCTTCCATGATAAGATTTCGTAATTCCACGCGCAAGTTCTGTTCAGCATCAACTATTCTTTCACAACGATGCTCGCCAACTTTATGGTCCACAGTTAGACATTCAGTGCATGCACCGACATCACATTCGCAACAATAAAATTTGAGACTTTCTCCTACATGACGGGTGCAAAAAATCGGCTTATGCACGGCTGCCTTTTCCTTAGAAGATCTGAGGGCATCAAACGGAACTACGCGATGATTTTCAAAACATCTCATAAATTCATGAGCTGAGTTGCAATTGGAACACAAAAAATGAGAACAATCAGTGCATCTAGCAACAGCCGGTTCTTTACTCTTACAGCAAGTGCAAACAACAGATTGATCCATAGCAGAAACATCTAAAATGTTGGTGATGAGATAGTCGGAAGGAAGTGATGCTGCTCCACCCCCAGATATCTGAAACATTTGACAAATTACCTACTTAAAAAAAATGTGTATAAAGTGACAAACAAGTAAAACTACTCTATTTTTTTTTATTACCTTGGTCTCTTGTTTACATATTGGACATTCCACTGCCAAATCATATTTTAATGAGTCACCTGCTTCATTAACCATCAACTTATCAATGCAAGCTTCACAGAATACATGAAGGCATGACAAAACTCGAGGACTGCATAACTTATTGCTAAAAAAGTATGTCAAATTAATTTCTTTATAATCATAATGATAATAATAACAAAATAACAATTATAAAAGAAAATAACAATTATATAAAAAACATTTTTTTACAAAATACTTACTCGCAAATGTTACAATTTTGTTCTTGTTTCCCGTTATCAATAGATTCTAATGAACCCTCATCCCCCAGGCTGACCAAGCCATCGCCATAAAGCTCTCCATTCATGTCTTCCATTTTAACTTATAATTATCTTGGTGTATATTGTAATATTGACCTTATTCAACAAAAATCTAAAACAAGTAATATCTAACATTATTTTAGGTTGATTTAGGTAAAAGAAAACAGGAAAATGTTTTAATGTATGATAAACTTTTTTATATATGATATACTAACAGTATTCAGATAAGTATTGATTCATAGGCTTTTTTAAAAATGAATGTGTGACAATTTTGTATTCCATAAATGAAATATATAGATTTACAAAATTTTATAGATATATTAATGTGTTGTTGAATAGATGTTCATGATGACAAAAAAAAATATTCATTAAATTTTTTATTAAGTTCATCTATGAAACTTAAGCATTCTAAGCATCATAAAATTAGAATTTCCATCTCATCTTGCTTTTTCCAATATGTGTGTCTAAGATCTGAATTATATAGATCATTTAATCAATATAAAGCATATGAGTGAGCTCTTTTATGCACTTATAAACATGAGTTGTATGTAAAGCATGACCATAGTAACAAAATAAAACAAAATCAAATAAAAATGCATAACCAACTGATTAGCTTATGATTATTGTCAATTTTATAATATAAAACTTTTTAGGCATCACACATAACTTTAAACTATCTTTTTATATCTGCCATTAAACTTTGTTGTTGTGACTATCTATTAGTTTATATTACTTTACAAAACCCTATTCTTATTAGTTGACTATGAAACCCTATTCACATGTGATCAAGATATTAGTGGCAATTTTTTCCTCTGAGAAAAATGGCAACTTCTTTAGTCACAAAATTAAACTTGAACCAACACAGGATTTAACTGATTCCAAATTGATAACACAATTGCTTAACACAGTTGCAAAGAAAATTCAAATGAAATCTCTTTCTTTACTAAAAATTTTGGTCTACTATTTTGGTGGAATAAAATATAATAAAATTATTATTTAGTTAGTATCCTAATGAGAACACATTTTTATTAAACATGGCCTAAATTGTCTAAAGTTGTAATGACTAGTAGTAATAACTGAAATTGTACCAACCATAGCAAGTACATTACAAGACTACTAAATGATATTTTTTTAAACATTCATATCATCCATTATATGTCTACTGCTGAACGTAGGCCTCCCTCTATTAAAGGGGGAGGCCTACATAGGTTTTAAGAAATGAAAAACAGCAGTATAGCCAAAAGTTATTTTGTATTATTATTGACAAATAATCAAAATCAGATTAGTACTGGAAGAGAAAACTAGAATATGAAATGATAAATTTAGTTATTTTGCATAAGTATTTATCAAACAGATATAGTTGTTCCTTTTTTCCAGGACCTAAACACAGAATGAAAGATTTACAAAATACCTATTTATTAATAGTCCTGGCCATATTTCCTCTTAACTGCTCAATTAGATTCACAATTTTATACATTCTTATAGTATTAGTAAGTTCAATTTTCAAAGTTCAAAAAAAAAAAAAGTAGTAAATATAATATTAGTAAGTTATGATTTTTGTTTTATGCTCTCCATTAATTCTTTTATGGTGCTGTTCATATCTATAAACAATAGTTACCACTTCGAATCAAGTGGACCATCCAGCTTTATTACCTTGCTAATATCATTAAAAATAAAACTAAGTTTCAAAGTTAATAATCTACTTTGACAACCAACAGGCTTAAGAAGATTCTTATAAGGAACACTCAAAATTATCTACCCAAAAGCCAAAAAATTCTAATTCAGAAAAAAAAAAATTGTTTCTAATCTTCTTTAGATTTCAATTCTAGCCTATATTTTAAAGTAGCAGAAAGTTGCATAAGTATATCTAAACAAATTACAGACAAATTGATCAATAATTTTCTATTTTCTCAAATTAGTTAATATGTGCACCAGTACTATATTTTATCCATAACATTTGCATTCAAGCCTATCTCTATATCCAAATAACTACTGTAAAAATAAATGCCTAAATGAAATTAACTATTTAAATTTTTGTTTTTTTTTTTTTTTTGGATTGTAGTTAACTATTTTATTTTTAATTACAGAATAAACAGAAATAGATACACAGAAAAATTTATTATAAGAACTATTGTTCTCATTGTTACATTACAAATTACAATATATTATTACACAAGTATAAATTTACATTTAATGTGCAAAATATGCCGTTAATATCTTATAAATTTGATTAATGTTTAGTTTTTTCTCCTTTTTATCATAATAACAATTTTGTACAGAATTTATCCAATTTTAATGTATGTATATACCAAACATTTTTATTAAACGGACTAGAAATTAAGTAATTTACAAATTAAAGCAACGTAGACAGCTTAATCAGCAATATACTAAAAATTGTTATATACCTACATAGCACAAACGCAATGCACCATGCAGACAATGGCGAAGGTCGATAGTTCGTTATCTAATTGTTTAGCGAATATTGTCAATTTTTACTAAAAAAGTAGCAAAAAGTAAACCGAAAGAATATAGAAAGAATTTACTAACCTTTAACAGGTATATTTTGCAGAAAAGGCGATTAATGAAACGCGCAGAATGTTCTAACACGCCGTAACTATGACAATATCCATCACTATGTAAATAAATAAAAAATGAGCATCAAATCTCAACAAATATTTTTTAAATAAAAATGGTTTCTTCGATGAATTAAATTAATGTTTTGTCACGTTCTCATTTTAAAAAGACGAATACATCACGGTATATTGATTTTCTGCGTTAGTTGGTTGCGACATGAAATGTTGCCAGTTCATATAGGAAAAACTACGATTATCTACTACAAGTACTTGATAGTAAAAAATTACTAGATAATTTGAAATAAACGGTTATATAGTAGAATTCGTTTGACATGTGTGTACCATGTTGCTACCTTACAGGAATTCTGGTTGTTGAAGGATTATTAACACATTTCCAATGTGTTAGCGCAGGCAGGGTTACCATTCCATTTTCACCCATAAAAAAAAATATATATAAGCGCTAATCATGTAATATGGTCATAGCTGGGAGGGGGGGGGGGGGGGGAGCATTGTACCCCTTAATATACACTACCTTAAAATGAAAGGCCCCAAGAAATTTAGCTTCATTTTTTTTGTCACTTAGATATGACACCTACCCCGCCAAAAAGTTCTTTTGATCCAGCTCGAGTATTCTCCGGAGCCATGAATGGGGCACGGAATTGAACGCCTTTTTATTTTAATTTTTTGTAGCACCATGCTGCAGCTTACGCTGACTGGGGACGCGATTAATAGCACATTTCTTGCCCTCTTTTTGCTAATTGAATTAGTGTAAGAATAGGCTACCATATTTTAGATTTACTGTTTTTATTTTATTATTTCATGGTTTTAATTTGTTCCATAGATTTCGTATAATGTTCGGCTATGATTTGCTCTACGTAAGTTTTTGTTTTGTTGAACAAATTAACTAATTACATCCACATTAAAATAAAGGCAGAACAAAAGTAATTTATTTGTTGCAAATGTTTAATTCTTGTCGAATTCATCATAGTAGGCCAACTAATTTGGATTTATTCTCATCTATCATCTTCCATTGGTACTTTGTCGGTTTATATCAATAATGTAGGAGAGCTTACGATTACATTTGCATCCATTAAAAAAAAATTGTAGGTAATTGTTCTCAATCTACGGTAAAGTCAAATATGACAGAACATGGAATAGGCTGTAACAGTCAAAGTCAAGAAAACAGGCTAGGGTTACTTTAAGAAAAAAAGTGTTTAAATATAATATGTGCAACTTGTTCATTGAGTTTGGATTTTTTTTGTTCATTGAATTTTACGCTATGCAATGAATAGGTTGGTTTATGATAGATTTATGTTATATAATAGTTATATGGATATCATATTATATTATAACCGATACGGCATTCGACAATGGATATTTAACTTATAGTCACTGTCATTATAAAATTATTCTATATTCGGTTTATATCAATAATTATATATTAAAATTATTGTCTCGCCAATGCCTAGAATATTCATTTATTTTATCGTGACCATACTTTTAGTCATCGTTTAATATTGTATTATCGACTACTAGTCCCATTGCTAGTAATATACCGTCAGGTTGAACTTCACGTGGTTTCCCCGGAAAGCCATTGTGATTGATTTGTTGTTAAATTCATCACGGGCCAATTAATCTGCTACACTCTTACCTATTATATCTCACTGGTGTCCCGCCAGTGTATACCGATAGCACAGGCGGTCTTACCAATCCATTATCAAATATTAAAAAAAAAAAACTAGTTCCATAGATTCATTTTTCACCTTCGTCAATATGAAGGGGAGTGCCATTCCTTAATGGAATGATTATTTCTTGGATTGGTTCGTGGAAGGGAATATTTTAACGTCATTCATCTGTCGGTCAAATTAAATTACGAATTAACTTTCATAAAAATCATTTACTAGAAACAGGTGAAAATATAGGTATTAATTAATCAAATGCTCAGTAGCAATAATTACCTTATTAATAAAATTCAATACAAGATTTTGTTTTTTGTTAAGTTGATCATAAAATTTTAATTATGACATTTATACCTAACTGGGAAGAATTTGAAAAGTCTGCAGAAATGTTGTACTTACGGGATCCGCTCAATACTCGCTACAGTACTAAATACTCGCATTCAAAAGGAGTATTTTTGGTTAAAATTACAGACAATAAAAAGGTAATATACGATTAAAATAGCTATTTCTAAATAAAACACTACTTAGATTACTACTATTCTTTGTAATAGCCTCTCTTGTATTTCATAATCGGATTGTAAATATATTAATCTTAACTAAAATTTAAAATTCTGTCTTCATGTCAGGTATGTTTCAGAAATACATTTATGTATTCTCATAAGGTGATTTACATTCTCACATGGTGTGAAAATTCTTTCAATTTAAAATTCTATTCAGTGTTTAAATACTCAATTCAAAGGTTTATTTAAGTACCTATGACATATTACCTCAAAAGATTAATGTTTTTTTTTATTTCAGTGTTTGCAATATAAAACAGAAGTGCAGCAAGATGTGCGGAAAATTGATAAATTTATAACAAACCTGATGAGGCATATGGCTTCTGATGAATAGATTAAGTAAAATAAAATTATTTTATAAGATACTAATTTTATTTTAAATCATTTCTATAAGTACTAATAATAATAATTGATATAAATGTAAGTACCTAATGTCATAAGTATTCTTGTTAACATCTGCAGGTGAATAGAATGAATTGTTAATATTAGGAACTCATCACCATTGTTAGCACCATCATCATTATTTCTCAGAGTATGGGGTCACTGGGGTTAGGTTGGTATGGTTTTTTTTTAATGGGTGAAAATGGCATTGAACCCTGCCTGTGCTATTAGTATACACTGGCAAAATACCAGTAAGAGATGATAAGTGAGGATGAAAAGGCCGGTTATTATGACGAATTCAACTATAAATCAATCACAATAATTTGCAGGGGGAACTGCGTGGAGGTCGACTTGATAGGGTACATTGATAGCAACGAGGACTAACCTCCCTTACCCTTGGTTGGGTTGTTATAGGGTTGTCAACTCTACATCCAAAGCCCATCATGGGAGGAATGGAGACCGAGAGTGGGCGTGCAGCATATACCTTGCGCGCCTATAGGGAGTCACCCTTCGATGGGTCTCTGGTGGTGTCTCAGTAGACTTCAAAGTGGGAACCCGCGGAACCGTCGTTATTATGAGATAGAAGGTATATCGTCAGGTTATTTATCCGGTAGGAGTCCGGCAGTACCCACACCTACCTAAGCTGTGTGGGTCTTCATGATGCATTTTTCCTGACGTAAAAAAAAAAAGGGTTGCCAACTCTTGAAAGGACCAACCTGGGGGAAAGGGATTGTTAGCAATGGAGTTTGACAACCCCATTCGTAGCAATGTGTCTTATTAGGTCAACTTCCATGTGGTTCTTCCTGGAAACCATCATAAACAATTCTTGTTGAATTCGTCACAATGGGCTAAGTCCTACTTACCGACTTCATCCTCATCTGTCATCCTTCACTGGTGCCCTGCTGATATACAAGGATGGCGTGTGTGGGGTTAACATTTCATTATCATATTTAAAAAAATGAAACCTGGAAAAATTTTATGGTTAAGAATTTTATCTAAGAGGGGTGGAGTATTTCAAAGACAATCATTAATTAATTTTAAAATTTATATTTTATTTTTGAAATCATAAAAATGTATTCATGTTAAATTGAAGTTTGTTAGTACTTGTAACATAGCTTTTACTACAGAAATACTCCTTTGGTTTCTTTCCTTGCTCTATCATGCTGAATATGTGCTCGCATGAAGCATTAATGACAGGAATGGTAAGAACAAACATAACCAATTTTTTCAAATCAAGACAGTAATTTCTGACTTTAGATTTCTTAAATAAGTCAACCCAGTGTAAATCTACTGATTTTTTTTTCATGAAGCGAGTGATTAGCAATGGGTGCACTTAATTATTAGGTAATTTTTAGAAAAACCGAAGAAATTATTGCACTTCAGGATGTCTGGAGGTTAATCATTATTACTGGAGTCTCCTGGGCATTCCGGGAGGGTTGGCAACCCTAGTCACTTCTGAAGTATCAGTTCTATAAACATATCTGTTAATCTAATATTTTAATCTTAATTTTGCAAATTTTATAGACAATTAATAAGCTAAATTTATAATATTTTTTTAATTTAATCTACTGGAATTGATCTTTAAAAATTTTACTGTGATGTCATATTGAAATATTAATTTTAGAGATAGGTTTAGACAAATGGCACCTCAGAAACAACCCCACTATAACTCAAATTTATTAATTTGAAGAAATTTAAGACCTAAGAATTATGTGTTTGTCTATCCAAACTGTATATAATGGCGGAGCACCAGTAGAGGATAGAACAATGAGAATGAAGTCAAATCAGTTGGTCCATTGTGGCGATTTCAGTAAGAATTACAACAATGTTTTCCAAAGTATAAGTAAAAAAATATCTTGTTAGATGCGGGCTGCATGGAGGTCAATCTGACAAGATATATTCCTAGCAATAAGAAATAGTGGAAATTATAAAAATTTTATAATTTCATATTTAAATATGGAATGCCTATTTTTACTATTCGATTTTAAAAGCATTCCATATTTAAATATGAAACCTGTTTTAGTACTACCTACTGGAGGAAAAAGGGATTGTAAGTAATGAAGATTAGCAACCCTATTGCTAACGGTATATCCTATAAGGTCGTCATCCTCGTGGTTCCTCCTGAAAACCATCGTGATTGATTTATTGTTGAATTCGTTACGATGAGCCAACTGACCTGCTTTATCCTCACCTATTATCTCTTACTAGTATACCACCAGCCAGTGTATACTGATAACGTAGAATGGTTTTTTTCATGGGTGAAAATGGAATGGTAACCCGCTTGCGCTAACGGGATACGCTGGCGGATCAGTGAAGGGTGATCGATGAGAATGAATACAGGCCTGTTAGCCCATCATGGAGAATTCATCTGGAATTAACCATGATAATTTCCAGGGGGAACCGCGAGGAGGTTGACATAGTTGGGTATATTGTTAGCAATGGGATTCTCAGTCTCCATTACTAACAATCCTTTCCCCCCGCGTAGAAAGGGTTACAATTCCATTATTATCCTCAAAGATTTTAACCAGGGGGGAGTATAACCATTTCATACAAGCTATGTAAAATGAAGTCATTTTACCGTCACGAATATTTTACCAATATAAACAAAAATGCTCCTTTTTTCCCGTTATGTTGGCCAGCCTAATGTTCAAAATGGAACGAATAGGGTTAGTTATTCTTTAGTTTGATAGTAAAAACGCAAATCATGTCATATATACACACATCAAAAAAGTCTAAACAACACATACTATTTCAAATTATTAATCAATTATTATATCATTTCTTACAAAGTAGGTAATACTTATGTAAACTTATTTGATTTAGAAGGCATACTGGCTGGTTGTAAAAAAAATTTAGTATCTAACATTTGTTTTTTTTTTTCACAAATTCAAAAGCGAATGCATTTGTTCGAATTTTATAACGTTTTCTTTGCTTATTAAAATTTAGTATTCTGTATCAATTTTATGATTTAAACAATAATTTGAAAAAAGTTTTTAACAAATTTGGATTTTGAGACATTTTTTACGTCATAGAGCGATGTCATTTAAACGCAGATGAAATTTAAAGAGCTGTAGAGATGTTGCAAGCGGTAAGAAGTTAATCGGGTATCTCGGTATTTTGGTGTTAACAGAAGCGTTATTTGCCGTCTTCATCAGTGTTATACTAACACGGGATATCCTGCTGAGCAGCACCCAGGTCGAGGATGGTGTACAACCACGCGGCAAGATCGATAAATACAACTGACTGCAAGACGCCAGCCGATGTTAATCACCCGAGAGATAGTTTTAAGGCTACAAAATTCAAGTGGTATTGTTGTCAGCAGCTAAACTGCGAAATCGACTGTATGAGTATGGCCTACGAGCACGACGGCCAATTAGGTGCCCACCGATACGTCACGGGAATCGCGCTCGTTGAAATGAATGGTATAGGGAACACGTTACATAAACCCGGGAACAATGGGATAAAATTTTATTTTGCAATGAGTCTTGATTTGGTTTCCAAACCTGATATTAAAAGGGTAAAAGTGTACCGTCCTGGAAAAACTGAAACACTGAGGTGCGTTCAGGAAGTGCATCCATATAACGGCTCAACAGTTATGGGCGGGTATTATGAAGAACAGACGAACTGAGCTCGTTTTTGTAAATGGTAATATGAACGCTGTAAATAACGTTGAGGATGTTCTAAGACCTTATGTCCGTCCATTCGCACAAACGCTTGGCTCCGATTTCACGTTGATGCATGACAATGCGCATTCGCATATAGCTTTGCACACACGGGAGTACTCGACAAGGGAAAACGTCCTGGTATTGCCTTGGCCTGCACAATCGCCAGACCTCAACCGCATCGAGCATGCATGGGACATGCTCCAGAGACGTGTTTTAAAGGACTTGGATGGAATGATAACAACACAACAACTGATGAAATTACTAAAATTTCATTGGGAGCAATTGCCGCAGGATAACATTAACAGTTTCATCGATTCTATGAATAATCGGTGCCAGCAAGTTCTTCATAACAGAGGAGGCCACACTTTGTATTAATTTATGCAATTTTTGTACAACCATTTAATTTTAGTTTAAGTTTAGTTGATTAGGCACCTTACTTTGTACTACGTACATACAGTACTTACTCGTAATTATTGTTAATTAAGATTATTAAAAAAAATGTTGTTTAATATCAAAAAAGCATTAAAATATAAATAAGAAAATACTAAAAATTTAATGCGAAAACACATTGTAAAATTGAAATTTGTATGTTGCTTAGACTTTTTTGATGTGTATATATATATTACATAGGAGGGCAAACGAGCATGCGGCTCACCTGATGGTAAGTAAATACCGCTGCCCATGATCACCCACAACACCAACGGCATAGCAGGTATGTTGCCGGCCTTTTAAAAAGATTTTTTTTTATACAACTTAAAATGGCGAACAAGCTAACGGCCCACCTGATGGAAAGTGGTAACCGTCGCCTATAGATATGAGCAGTACCATGGACATAACAGAGTATACTGTTTCGCCCATGATACTCCCCATGCGTTGCCATTCCTAAGGACTCAGGTGTTATTCCTCTGTACCCTGTAAATTCACGCCATATCCCACCCTTTAAATCGAAACACAGTCATGCAAACACAATATGCTCTTTTTTTAAAGGTTATGATATATCGATTCGGAAATACTGCTGCTTGATGTTGATTTCAAAGAGTTGTTGTGCGTGGAAGAAAGTTTCTTGAAAAATGCACGGTGGTAGACCGTCACTCGTCCAGATGGTTGGAATGAAATTTTAGATTATGGCGGGTTGTTCGGTGGTGAAAATCAGCAGCAGGTATCAATCCGAAGAATTCCTCAGAGCACTCCCCATGATAAATTCTGTAGAAAATGCATAGAGATGCAACATCTCTAAATAGTTTCAGTGGGTCTAGTCAGACAGTAAGACGCTGATTGTCAATAATTTGAGCTGCCCTACTTTGAATGCGGTCTA